AAAAATGGCGTTCGCGAGTAATCGAGTCACAAAGGGTTCACCTATCGTCATCTGATCCTATGGGAACTCATTTTCGGGCCCTCTACATGTTGGTCCTGAGCCCTTGCAACTAAAAGTTGAGTGCTTGGAACCACTCATGCGAGTTCTTCACAAAAATGAGTCAAGAAGTGGCTTGAAGTTCTACGGGAGGTGGGCTCCATTGCTAGTCCGCTAGGATGATCAACAAGAAACTCCTAAGGCTAGATTCTAGGTTCTAGGAGTAGAAGACTAAGACCTCACTAAAAATGAGGTCAACACACACACTAGGAAGAATACTTCTACAAAAATTTGGTAAACAAGATTGCAAAAGAAAAACTCGAGAAGTGGAGGGATATGGCGACATTTGGGAGCTTATATAGGCCTCTTGGGATGCCATTTTTGGCTCAATAAATAGCAATGACTTGCAAAAATGTAAAAAAAAATTAAAATGTACATTGTCATAGTTAGAGCTAGCTTAATAACAAAATAATTATTGAGATAAGAAAAAAAATTATCCATCATTCTCATCAAGATGATTGGAGATAATTTTTATTTTTTGCTAGAACTTATGATAATATTAGTTTTGAAATTTTTTTTAATAATACAGAACGATTAAAATGATATATTAAATACGTCTTAAAAAATCCTCCAGTTTTATATAGGAGTATGTCGTCAACATAAAGTTGAGATATATCAGAAACTATTGGGACCATCTCGTAAATCTTCACGCAATCACCCTACACAGTCCAGTACTTTTGTTTTGCACATAGTTCGGTGAGATCGTCTAGATCCTGACATTCATCTTCGCATGATTGTCTCACGTATTTGCTCCCTGCTATAGTTTTATGTTATTGTCCTTTTCTTTTGTCCTACACGATAGTCTCTGAAGTTATTCTTTGCCAGCATCCAACCTATGTGCGAGTGTCATTGCGCATCTAACTCCTCATTGGTGTGATTGCATGTTTATAGATTGCAAGACCTAGAATTTTTCTGAGTTCTGAGAGACGTCTTCAAATTGAGGCCATGCCATCTCATTGCGTCAGCGTGCTGTCTAACCTTACTGCTTAGGCCAGCCAAACCGCTCCATCATTTTCTTCTTTTTTCCCTCTGGTAGAATTTTGCTCCTCTGATTTTTGAAGTCATGCTCATTCATTCCCATTGCCCTATGTTAAGATTCATTTTGCATTCCCTATTCCCTTTTAAGCCACTTGGTATCACAACTTCTATTACTTTGACTTATCATAAGGACTTGGTTGACCCTAGACATGTAATCATAAAACTTTTCTTAGAAGTAGATTACATCAGAATTTCCTCACAACATTCATACTACATTAGCAATTTCCTAACGTGCATGCCAAAGGGCCATCTCATTTTAACTGCTCTGTTGATCCTCCTATGACTCCAATTTAAATCTCGTTTCCACGACTTCAGTAAACTAATTTAACCAATTTCTCTTAATTCTCTTTAACATCTATTTTTGAAAAGCCCTTACAAGTGGAAATTGTAACAACCCATGTTATTAGGCCTCTGTCGTTAGAGTGTTGATAAAATTAAATGTTTCCGTCATATCATATAAAGAGGTATTGGGATATTGGTCGAAAATGGTATTTGAAAACATTCCTTAATATTGTTCCTTTTATCATACTTTTTTGCATAAATTTTTGAAATATTCATAAACTCTTCCATCTGATGTTCAGGTTGATCCTCCTACTTGTTTGGTGGAAGACCTTCCATCATCTAATCAGACATGTTTTAAAAATTTTAAATCAGGATTATTGACTGATATTCCTGCTCCAACTAGACTGGTATTAATCTGATAATCAACAATTGATATTATTACTGAAAATACTCTGCAAGTTCTTGAAATGTCACAACTTCATCCACTTTGTGAACATAATGATGAACCTTTACTACAGCAAGATTTTGTGATTGATTGAAAAATTCAGTATGTTGACTCCCTGAATGATAAAAGATTTCATATTCTTTATGCTAGAATTGGTAGGAATCAGAAGAAAATTTATCATCACTCACCAATATTCACTACGCTTCAAGCTAAGCGATTCAAATGATTGTATCTCAAATTATACTGTTGTATTTTTCTTTTTATTCTAGCATTTCTGTTACCCTTATTATACTCTTTTCTTTATCTAGTTTATAAGAGTTTCTTTTAAAATATAATAAAGTAGAGAAAAAAATAAAAGTAGAAGACTGATGAAGTGTAAAGAGTTCCAAACTTATAAAAAAAGTTGGTGATAGTATTAAAGCGTACATGAGGCGGCCTCTTGTTCAACCTCAGGCCAACAGCTTCCAATTCTCTTGTCAAAATTTGACGATGCCCCTCACTCTGAAAAGATGTGGTGGCATAGTATGCACAACAAAAATAAAATTTGCATTATATTCCATCAAAATCAAAAGATGGGCATATTCAGGTGTATGATAATCAAGAAAGTGCAACAAGTAAATTTTCAGATAAACATTATTTTCAGCAAAAATTTGCACTATCAAACACAGTGCTAGAAAACAGCATGGTATACTTTGTGGGCCCTAAAGCAATCAATATTCTGTCAAGAAAAGATGATAAATACAAGACAACTGACAGTTAGTTACCAACTTGTCCAACCTAGTCATAAGTAAAATGAATAAACAATATTTGCAACCGTGACATAGCAAAAGAAACCACACAACATTTGAAAAGTATAAATGCAAGCATAGTTACAATAGTAACAGGACAAGCAAAATGTACTTAAATAGATTACGCTTATACAGCAAAAGCTACACTCAATAGGACGCAATGAAGAGTCAACCCCACTTAGTGGGTAAAGGCTTGTTGTCGTTGTTGTTATAAAGCAAAAGCTAACATAATTTAGCAGTCTAAGCTAAGCCTAGGATCTCACTAAGTTACTCTACAGTCTTCCATCCAAATGTGGTACAGATTCGAACTGTAATCGCCAATTCCCATCTTAGAAAGCCAGTAACTAAAACTTTTTCCAAAAAACTTGACCAGTAAAGCCACCTCAATAACACTGCACCACATAACAAGGATTAGTCAGAGAACATTTTTTTATGTATTTAAAAGCCTTGGGCCAACTTATTCATCAAGCATCAATTGCTGCTCCCTCTAGTTGGCAATCCACCAGCCTCATCATCAAGCTTCCCAACAATGAAAGCGGGAAGATTTGAGCAGCCTAAGCCATTAGTCTTCTATACCCTCCGCAAAATATAGTGCTCAATCAATACTAGAATGTGGTATTATTCATCAGCTGGTAATCTTTACCCATAAACACCTCCCTATTCTACCCTCCGTAAAATCTAGTACTCAATCAATACCAGAATGAGGTATATAAATTCATCAGCTTGTTGTGTTACCCCTAGGCATCTCTCTCTCTCTCTCTCTCTCTCTCTCTCTCTCTCTCTCTATCTATCTCTCTCACATTACATGCACTTCATATTTTATGAAGACCTTTTTTTCCCTGATGGTAGAAAAACAAGTACTGACCTTAGTGAAGGATGAAGGAAGTAGGATCTGAGAATATGTTTTCCGCCCTAGATTCTTTGCGCTTGGTTAGGCTGTGGTTTATTGGTTTGGGTGTTCTATCTAGTATGAACACAGGTGAAAAAAAATAGATTCTAATATCTACATTTCCGCATCTCCTATAATTAGCCTTGTCCCAAAGTTTTCACGCAATCAACTAGAATGTTATATGATAAAGCACGGCCAGTACTGATGGGTATAGAGCACAATACAACTCTATACAAACATAGATATTAATAATTTATTTCAACATATTGAATTCATCATTATAGCTTTGTTCAAAAGATTTTGAGGCTGCCATTATGAATCCTTATTCTTCATTTGTTCCAATAAAATATTGTATGAGATTTTAAAGTTATTTTGTGCAAATATTTTTAAATAATTTCTATTTTACATTTGATCTACCTATTTTCTTTTCTAATCTTTTCAATATTAATTTTGTCTACAATCTTATTGGTGCAATCTTATATCCACTATCCTTTTGTTGTAACCCACTATTATCCCTGGTAACATAATATTTTCTTAATATATTCATATTAGTTTTTTCAGACACCCAACTTAGAATTCTTATTTATGCCAAACTCAACTTTGGTTAGCAATGACCTTTTCATGGCTCATTACTCATACTCGCAAGACATAACCAACTTAATTTCAATTCATAAAAATTTAACTTTAAGGGTCCGTTTGGAGCGGCTTTTCCTGCACGGTGCGTCGGAAGGCCGCGGAAAAGGGTTGTTTGGCGCGGCGTCTCCAACGCGGCGGCCGCGAATCTGAGCGGAAAGCGTACCGCGGGTGAGACCCCGCAGCCCGCATTACCGCTCGATTATTTTACTCCATACCCTTCGTCTTCGACTAGGAAGGTCGGATCGCGGCATGCGATAATCTTCGAAGCTCCCATCGTTCTCCCTTTTTCCCTGACCGCTCTGCTCTTACCTGAAACCATTGAGGAAGAAGCCCTACACCCAGCCGAGCTCGATGGAGGGGATTGCGGTGCATTCCTTCTAAAGTAGCTGCCGCTATTTCGCCCCCAAATGATGACGTCATGGCTCATCTTCACGTTCTATATTCTTCGCGACTTTGCTTTTACCTCTTTATTCTGATTTTATTTTTGTTCATCTCTAGTTTATGAGGATCTTGAAGCAACCCCCATGGAGTATATTATGCTGAAAATTGATTCTTTTGCTTTGCGATTAGGCTTGATAAAAGTTTGTGCATGGCACATCAGGTAAATCCTTTATCAAAAATGCTTCGGATTTAAACAGTTGTGTTCAATCTGTTTTTTTTTTGTTTTAGTTAATGTAATGTTTACTTTTCTCTTCTCTTGAAATATCTGAAAGAAAACCATATGGGTGGTATAAATGAAAGATTTGGGTGGTATAAAGGTATAAAGTGAAGTTTAGGTGTTATATATGTATAAAACCAATCTGGAGTACATCAGTCTGAACGGGTGCTTGATTATAAATTCCAACATAAACCTTTTGCCTGTAGTTTAAAACAACTTTTTTCTTTCAAATGGATTGTAATTAAACCCTATATTTATTTTTCTTTCAACCAAACAGCAAAATTTTCAGAACTCCTGCAGTGCCATGCTTGGTGGCGTTTATGGGATTTAATTCATTTAAGCAAAAGTTACTTGAAAGTTCATTTTTGAAATTCCGGTTCTATTCCCATATACATTACATATGAATTGGGTTTTCTGCACTATCCTTTCATTCTAGTAGATGCAGGTCTTCTGAATTGCAGTGTCCATTATATATATATATATATATTTTTTGGGAACAAAAATAAATAGAAATGATATTTTTTGATGCGATATGAAAGATTTGAGTGGTGTAAATGTAAGAAAGCAAAGTTTAGGTGTTAGATATGTAAATACATAAGAGATGTGCAGGCATTAGAGGCATGTCTAGAATTGAAATGGGAAAGTGTTTATTATATTTTTCTTCCCTTAAGCAGAAGCAATGGCCCTCAGAAGCAGAAGCAATGGTTGTATATATGGTTGTCCAACTTGATATAGATGCCAACTGTTATCCAAAATTTCCTTTCTGGGCTGATAGTAGGAGCAATCCTTAACCATTCTCTAATGTGGTGCAATGCTTTCTCAAATATTGTTGCCATGGAAGAATCTTCCTTCGTAATTTGCCATTCCAGTTGAATGCTGGCTTTTTTTTTCTGATGCAGTAGTTTTCTTCTTGCACACAACATAGCACAACATAACTAAACAAAGCAGGTTTATTCATTGCATCTTTTAACCCGTACATATTTCCTTGTTATGAATCTGATGTTAACAATTACTGGTTATATATCTCATTAGTTTTGTCTAGTCTCTTAAAATTTAAATGCAAGTGTCAAAATTTTGGTAAGAAATGCAGGTGGGGAGTGTCTTGGATTTCAGTGATAATGTAAACTTTTTAATTAATGCTAATTTACATCCTTTTCTATCATTAAAATGCAGCTCATAAATAATTGGAGTTTCTTTTCCCTCATGCACTTGCATTCCTTGTCTTCGTCTCCCACCCTGCCCATAATATTTAACCCTTTTATGAGTACAGTCTGCATATATTTGGAACGGAATACTTTTTACCATTTTCTCAAATAAAGTTATGCTAGGCAGCCTATTTGCTGAACACATGTTTTGGAATTTTTGAAAGGTATACAATTGCATTGGGTTGATTCAGTATTATTGCATCCATCATGGCTTTTATGCATAATTATGCTAATCAGTTTGGGCTTTGAGCCAATTCAAGTTTGCTTTCATTAGTTGTTTCAGCTATGTTTAGATTGTTTAACAATTCACATTAACTTTATGAAATCCCATGTGTAGGGTTTTGTTTTGGTAATGCTTTAATCTGCACTATTTTTAGCAATCTTGTTATTCCATGGGCTTGCTTCGTGCTAAAAACACACAAAATTTATATACCAGACATGCACGCACACCATATTTTTTGTGATAAATCGCACTCTATGAGAATAGAGACTATTTTCTCTTATGCAGCACAACATAACATTATTTGATAAAGCTTAAGTTTTCTTTCTAAACACCCTGTTTTTTATGTTTCTTTATAGCGAGGAAAATGTATACTTTCTTTGCAAGAAACTTAACGATGGTGATCGGGAATGGAGAACATCACTGGTGGAAAATTTAGCACAGGAACTACACCGTCTGAACGTTAAAATTAATATAATCATCTTATTAATTGCTATTTTAAAATTTTTAGGTTTTTTTTTGCAGTCTTGATACTCACTGTGAAGTAATGCATGTATCTGTAATTTTGTACTGTTTTTAAGTGAACTGTTGTCTTAAAAGTATTAAATTTATAACTATTACAGTTCTGTTAAGCACAACATTACAAAACAGGGGCAGAATGGTCATTTCTGCAGAAACAGCTACCTCACAGTTGTTTTCACAAAGCTGCCCCAAACAGGCAGCCAGCTTCCCCACAGCAGCTTCCCCGCAGCAACTTTCTGGGGCAATACAGCTGTAGCTGAAAAGCTGAGAAGCTGCAGCTGCGCCAAACAGAACCTAAGTCTCAGTTATATTCCCTCATCACATAATACTTGAAGTGTTTCTCGCATATTTAAAATATCCAACATTAACTCTAGAAATTATAGCATCCATATCATCATTCAATTGTATAGATATCACTTTATGTGCTAGTAATATTAATTGATAGCTATCAATATCTTCTTATTTAAAATGCATAGAAGATACTCAAATTTTGTTCTACTCATATAATATGATTGTTATTCCTGCAGCTTATCATGTGGATTGAATTATTATGATTTATATCCGATCAATAGCTTCTCTTCTCACAGACATCTTTATCACTAAGAATTGGCACTTCATGTGGGCTTCACTACTACTGCAATTGGCGTACAACTTCTTTTTATTCTTCTTTTGAGAGTATTTAATGGTAGTTTTTGTATGTGACTTCTTAAATTATGATACTAGCGTCGTCTTTTAGCATGCCACTTATATTAATCCTACTTATCATTGCTGTACTACATAAAAATTATTAATAGTGGTTCTGCAACAAGTTGAAAAAGAAATTTCATGGCTTGAATAAAAGTTGCAACCATTCATCATTTTTCAATATTATAATCCCTAATCAAATGTGAGACTTTAGGCATTCTAGTGATTTCCAGATTGGAATGCAACGTTTACTAATCAGTTAATTCTCTCTCGTTTCTTTCCGCTTCTTGTACATCTCCCTTTCTTTTTATTATTTATTAGTTTTTAAAAGCAAAATTTATAACCAAATAATTGAATGATCCAACATGCACCAATTACAAAAAAAATTTAAGATAAAAAAATAGAAATCAAAATACACAACCATAAATAACATGACAACCTATAAGAAAATATTGATCTAACGGATGAAGAGATACCCAAAAACTCATTTTGCACCAAAATATAGTGAGCTTGACGAGTAGCAATATATTTACATAAAGAATGAGGAAATCCCAAAAACTCTCATTTATTGCACCTTATTTGAAATGTGGTCAATAGTTCAACACGGCTATTGATTGATACATTTTAAGGGAGGTATTCTCTTTGTAATAGTGTCAGGCCTCGATCTTCTATTTGTGGACTGCCTTTATTGTTTTTTTTTTTCCATCTACATAACTTGTGATAAGATATCGTCAAGTCAATAACAATATAGATTTTCGAAGTGTGATGAAAATCTTTGCCAAATGATGTTTCTAATAATCTAACAATTTTTACAAAATTTCTATTTGGGCGATCTTTAAATTTCCTTTGGTATGTGTTTTGTATTTTCTAATTTTTTTAAAAGATATAAATGCTTGTCTAAGCTATAAGCTAGTAAACTTTGAATATTAATTTCAGATACATAATTGTGCACTTCATCCTTAATTTGAACTAAGAAATTCTAAACCAAAAAATGTATTATTTCAGATTTGATATCAAAGGTTAATATAGCACCATCATGTTAATTAGAATAATTTCATGATAATCAATAAATAATAATATGACAAATTTTAATCAAAATTGGGAAAGCTATAGTTCTAGTCAGCAACTATGTCACTATCCTGAGATACCTAATTACATGCCAATATTAAATAGGAGATATAATTTGAGCAAATGTCTTAACTTGGATCGAAAAGTTGAAAATTTTCTTCAAATATTTGTGTTTGATTCCCAAGGAATTGAACGTGTAAAATTAATAGGATAGGTTCAATCCTTTTAGTAAAGTATTTTTTTCTAAATCTATACGAGTTCTTATAAAATAAAAGTTTATAGAGTAATATTTATCATTAAGTGAATATAGAAATCAACTTCATGATCAATCTAAGAATTATAAACATTATTGGGGAGACATGTTTGCATATTATGCATGGTTTAAAGGTCTTGTAGCAAAAAATTATTTTCCTCCAGACAAATATGATATTTTTATAAGTTTCTTGCAGCATTAAGAAGAGAACTTATAGATGAATCAAGCAATAATTCACAACAACACTAGTGAATGACCAACGAGTGACAGCAACAACAAATGCGCTATAAGGAGGAACCGCAAGGTAAACAGAGGCACAAGAACGCCAGGCAGAATAATGAAAACTAAGCAAGGGACAATTGATGAGAGAGGTGAGAATCAAGTCAAGAGCAAAGATAAGGAGCTCGACTGCCTATAAGATCAGCTCGATAGATCAGTGGAAACAAAGATGCACATATAAGTGAATGTGAATAATGAAATGTGAGTAGCTCACAAAAAAGTGAAATACAGCTAACAAGCGAAATCAATGGAGAAGTCATCCACAATGAAGGACATGGGCCCAAGGCACTGGCAGGCACAGGCAGGCACAGGATGACAATGCAAGAAGGTGTCGAACCATCGAAGTCTAAATGGAAACCCAAGAGAAGGTAAGCAGAATTGATAACAGAGAATGAAAACTCAAAGCAACACATTACAGGCACCAATGAGAGAGGCGAGGTGATAGAAAACTATGCTAGGGAGTTGGCCGATGAAATGGCATGGGGCGAAGTAGGCCCATGAAATTGGTACTTCTAGCAAATATCATAAATTTAGGTTTTGTATTCAAAAGAAATGAGGCATAGAATTAATAGAGTAGAAATTGGGTATATAATATGCAATTTAAAAAGTATGATATTTGATATCAAGAAGTGAAATGTACAAGAAAATTGGATCTATTATATTGAAAACTGGAGATTATATGGAGATATAACTTATAGAATTAAAAATCAAAGGTTAAAATAGACAAGTGCCAAATGAGTGTCATAAATAAAAATTTATCATGAACACTTTAAGAAAAAAAAGTCTATAAAACTACAATTAGATTAACTACAATATATAGATCCAAATGTTGAGAGATTTACAAATATTCTTAGCTAAGTTGAGCATGAAGAAAATGGGAACGTCAATAAAGATGTGTTAAAAAAAAAAATAGGAACATAAAATAATGAATAAGAGTAGTTGAAGAAACATCTACAGAAAATAAGGCAGTTGAATATGGATTTAGCGCATACAAAGGAAGAAAATGTTGACAAAAGTAGGGTAGATAATCAGAAAGAATAAAAAAAGCAGATGTAAACTAACATTAATCGATGTTATTTGCGAAGATTACAAGGAAATTTGTAACAACTTGCACAAAATTTAGCATGATCTAATGAAAAAAGATTCACTCAGCTAGCCCCAAATAATTAAGATAAAGTTAATCATCATGATGAAAACGTTGATGGTCATTTTTATTAAATCGATATTATTTAGTAATTTCCTTTTGTTTTGTTAGTTATCATTGTGGACCTTATACTATAAAGTATTTATACCACTGAAATTATTATATTATGCTGTATTTTTAATGAAAATTTCCCGGAAACTCTTCCTAAATGTGATGCCCATCTTTCCTCTTCTTTCCTTTAAAGCAATCCTCTTATCCATTTCCATTTCTTTGATGCTATCTAGTTAGCTTTGTTTTCATGCTTTAAATTATTTAATCCCTAAAGCACTCAACGCTGTCCTGCATCACCCAACCCAACGAGCAATTAAAAACCTATAAAGAGAGCTCCTATTGTTCTGATTTACTGCCTATTTAAACCATTGATGACAGAAATTAATAGGAAAAACAAAAAAATTGCCATTTTCATTAAATAGAATGAACATGTTCACAGCAGCACGTTTTCTGTAAAAAAAAATATAAATAAAAAAATGCTGTTCATAGGAAAACGATCTCTGTATTCTAAATTACATTACTTACTTTGGACGCATCAAGAACCATCAACACAATATCCGAGGACTTTGCCACAGCAATAACCTGATAAATTAAAATAAGGAATCATCTGTTGGAACAACAATAATAAATTCAAATGTACAACTAGTATTTATATACAAAACTAGTGGTATTGCAACCACATACGCATTATTAAATTTTCTTCATTCTTTATTTCCTCCTCTCTCAAAACAGTGTCCGCACAAGCAAACTCTTATCGGCCACACAGGAAATGAGTACTCAATGAAGTTTCAAATTACTGTAGATTCTTGGAGACAAAATATACAAGATAACACCATAAGCTGAACTCCACGCAATGGGGCGGCAAAAGAGTAAGGAAAACTTACATACATACCACTGACTTCTTATGTAATTACATATCTAGCACCTAAACTTTAATTTTGACATACAAGCCGCCTTACATATGCATCAAAAGGTGCATTTCACATTTTAAAATTTAAAATGGTGGTAATTTTGATTTTTGATAAGATATGAAAGATTTGGGTGGTATAAATGTAAGAAGTAAAGTTTAGGTGTTAGATATGAAAATACATGGGAATGGGGTGGTATGTATGGAAATGCCCCTAGTCTTTAAACTGGTCATGAAAAGTAATATTTCTTTTGATTTAAAGTAAAAAATCACATGATTTGATATCATTGTTTGAATGATAAATAAGATTAAGTGAAGGAAATATTGGAGGGAAAAGGAAATGTAATTTACCTGTCTACCTCGTCCCTTGCCTTCTGATGCCCCTTCAATGATCCCAGGAAGGTCTAGGAGTTGAATTTTTGTATCATTGTAGTTGATAATTCCAGGGATGCAGGTAAGCGTGGTAAACTCATAAGATGCCGCTTCTGAGCGTGTACCCGTTAAAAGAGTAAGTAGAGTTGATTTTCCTACACTGCCGTGTTAATAAGCATAGCAGTTACAGATAGAACGTTTCAACTATGGGTATAAACGTAATTAAATGCAAAAGTAAAGCAGATCTTGACTTCCAACTGATAAGGATAACTGAAAAGAGAAATTGGAAGGAGAATTTATTTAGCGTAATGCAAACTGTAATGGCAATAAAAATTTAGTGACAATGATAGCGAGAGAACAGTTGGATCAAGTTGTTTTTAGGAGGAAATAACAGAAACTCAACTAATATTCTTTTCTAATGATAAAAGAATTAAAGCTTAAGAAAACTATTTACCTCCCTTACTTTAATAAAATTATAATTGAATTTGAGTAAGTAACTTTAATAAAACCACTCTTTATAACCCAAAAAAATAAAAAATAAAAATTCCAAACATCTTTTCTAACAAAAAAACACTGTCATTGCCGGTCCCAAGTCCGGATGTGAAAAGAGGAGGGTTGCGTTAGTTAGTCGACGGCCAGCGTAAAACTTGTCGAAAAAAATCATGACATGAATCCTTTTGATCATTGTAAGTGTTAGGGCGTCCCCTAGAAGCAATGTGTTGTATTGCATGAATACAGTAAAAGATGTACAAAGGCCGCTACACCGACGTCTGGGTCTATTGTAAAATAAGCAAGGGTTCTCACATTACGGATGGATGCGAGTAAAAAAGTTAGTTCATAAAACTAATAAAATTAATATTATGATAGGATCTTGGAATATAGGTACTCTCAATGGTAATTTAATGGAATTAGTTGATATTATGATTCATAGAAAAATTAATAAATTATGTATTCAATAAACTAAATGGATGGAAGAAAAGGCTAAGGAGATTGATGACATAGGTTTTAAACTTTTGTATTCTGGTAAGAGTCGCGCTAGAAATGGTGTATGTGTAATTATAGATAAGAGTTGGAAAGATAAAAATGTAGAAATTAATAGATTTGGAAATAGAATTATAGCCCTTAAGATTATCATTGATACTAAGATTTTTAATATTAAAAGTGCTTATGCTCCTCAATGCTTATGCTCCTCAAATATATGCTCCTCAAATAAGTTTAAATATAGGGTCTAAAAAAAAATTCTGGAATGACCTCTTGAAGAAAGAATTTTTATTGGAAGAGATTTAAATGAATATGTCGGTAGAGTGGTAGAAGATTTCAGAAATATTCATGGTGGCTACTGTTTTGGAGTGACTGATGAAGAGGTAGAGTTATTTTAGATTTTGCTTTAGCGTATGATTTTGTTATTACTAGTACTTCATTTAAAAAAGATATAAGCAACTTATTACTTATAAGAATGGATCTAATAAAACACAAATTGATTATTTTCTTATGACAAGAAGAGATCGTCAAGATTGTAAAGATTGTAAGGTTATTCCAAGTGAGAATTTAAGTACCCAACATTGATTATTAGTTCTAGATTTTAAGATGAAAAGTTATAAAATAAAAGTACTACTATCATCGTATAATTAGATAAGGGAACCTAAAAGACAAATAAAATTATTTTATGAGTTAAATTCAAGTTTTCAAAATTTGGGATGTTCATAATGAAGCAAATGCTATGTGGGATAAAGTAACTAACACTATTAAACAAGTAGGAAAAGATTTACTAAAAAAATCTTAAAAAGAAGTTTCATTAAATAAAAATAACTGGTAGTGGAATAATAATGTGCAAGAAAAGGTAAAATATAAGAAGTTATATTATAAAAATTTGTTTAAATATAAAAGCTTAAAGAACTAAGCAAAATATCAAACGGCCCGCAGGGAGTCTAAAAGAACAATCTATGATTCTAAAAATTCTGTTTTTAATGATCTTTATAATATATTAGATACTAAAGAGGGTAAAAAATATATGTATAAACTACCCAAACAAAGAGAAAAGAAAAGTAAAGATTTAACTCAAGTAAAGTGTATTAAAGATGAAAATCAAAAAGTGTTTTTCTTAAAAAAAAATATATTTAACATAGGTGAGTGAATTATTTTGATAAATTTTTTTAATGAAATTTCTGAAAATATGATCTACCTTAGTGATCTTAATATCGTTAATAATAATAAAACGTTTCATTTTTATCATCGCATTAGTAAGAAAAAAGTTGATGAGGCTTTAAAGAAAACTAAGAGTGGAAAGTCTATAGAACCTGATGATATCCCAATTGAAGTATAAAAATATTTAAGAGATTTGGGAGTTTATTAACTTACTAAACATTAACTTACTAAACTCTTTTAACTTACTAAACTCTTTAATATTATTTTAAGAACTAAAAAGATGCCTGAGAAGTTGAGGAAAAGTATTTTGGTCTCTTTTTTTAAGAATAAAGGGGATGCACAAGAGTGTGCAAATTATAGAGGAATTAAGTTGATGTGTCATACTTTAAAATTATGGGAGAGAGTAATTGAACATGTAATTGAACATGTATTACAATAACTTCTCATAATCAATTTAGATTTATGCGCGTTAGGTCTACTATGGAAGCTATACATTTATTGAGAGGTTTGATGGAAAAGCTCAAAGATAACAAGAAGAATCAAGATAACAAGAAGAATCTACATTTGATTATTATTGATTTAGAAAAAACTTACAATAAGTTTCCAAGAGATAACCTTTGGAGAGTTCTTGAGAAGAAAGGTGTTGACATGACTTATATTCAAGTCATTAAAGATATGTATACTAGAGCTGTTACTTGTGTTTGCACTGAAGGAGGATTGACCAAATATTTCCTAGTTCTATTGGATTACATCAGGGATCAGCTTTAAGCCCATATCTTTTTGCTTTAGTTACGGATGGTCTTACTGGACATTTACAGGAGGAGGTACCTTGGTGTATGCTCTTTGTTGATGATATCCTTCTCTTGGATAAGACGAGAGAAAAAGCCAAGGAAAAACTTGAATTATGGAGGTCTACAATGGAGTCTAAAGCCATTCATTTTAGTAGATTTAAAGCTGAATACAGGGAATGTAATTTTAGTAGTAGTAGCTCTAGTGACAGAAGTGTAACTTTGGGTGATCAAATTAATAAAAAGTGTGAACGATTTAGAAGTGTGAACGCTGTTATTCAAAGCGATGGTGATATAGATGGGGATGCTAATAGTAGAATTCATATTAGTAGAATTAAAGTTGGTTGGTTGAAGTGGAAGAATGCTTCAGGCCAATTGTGTGATAGAAAAGTACTGCTTAGACTGAAAGGAAAAATTTATAAGTTAGTGGTGAAACCTGCAATGCTCAATGGCGTTGAATGTTGGTTTTTAAAAGCAAGCATAATACTAAGTTAAGTATTGTTGAGATGAGAATGATTAGGAGGATGAGTGGCTTTACAGTTAGAACAGTTAGAGATAAAATGTGAAATGAATATATCCGTGATAAGGTGGTGTAGCTCCTAAGACGGATAAAATTAGAGAAAGTCATCTTAGATGGTTTGGTCACATTAAGCGTCGACCATCTACTGATCCAATTAGGAGAGTAGATGTTTTCGATTCGACTTATGTTAAGAAAGACAGAGGTAGACCTAGGAAGACTTGGGCTTATTGTATAAAAAATGATCTTAATTTATTAGAACTAAATGAAAATATAAAACTAAATAGGACGCAATTGAGAAAAAGGACTCATGTAGCGGCCCCACGTAGTGGGATTAAGGCTGTTGTTGTTGTATCTTTTCCAACAAAGAGCTTAAAAAGAACTAAAATGTTTAACCAAAATATATGAATGTTCTTAATCTGTCCACCGTTTGACTTATATATTACCAGCAATAAACAAGTACTGCTATTAAGAAAGGTATTGAAATTTTTCTAATCACTTCTTTAGAGGGTATAATATCCTATAGTTATATTTTTAAGGTTTTGTCCGCATGCTATCTGTAACCTGTACAATTTTTAACAGCCAGTGCATGATATAAATTAATGATAACAGGTCATCAAGTTGAATGACTATTAACTATGTTTAAGAAGTGATGCAGAAGGCATGCATCTATGTGCAATTTTCTCAATGCATTCTTGCTAATGCACCAAACATTAATGCTTCAAAGTTGAAATAATGCATCAAGAAAATCATCCAAAATCAAATATTAATATCCTCGATCACAATGTAGTGTCCTCCAATAAACAGTAAGATAGCTTAGGTCCATAGAAAACAAACCTGGGAAATCCTATTAGCGCTACACGGCCATGGCCGAACTTCGTGACTTCAAATCCTTCTCCGCCTCCACTTGAACCCTGAGATAAAACAAAAACAAACAGCAAACTCACTAATAAGATTAAGGGCAAAGTAACTGTGGAGAATGAAACCCAAAATAAATTCCAATAATTCCACCTCCTACAAATCTGTAGATTTATATCTTAGCCCCTATTTCTTCTATCTAGTTTCACACCCGGCTCTCTCATGGCAGCTCTCCATCTTCACTGCTACACAACACCCGATTGTTGCAAGCCATTCCACCAAAGCAATCCATCCTTCTTTACTCTCTCTTAAGATTTCTCATTGATCTGTAGGGTTATTGCTACCACCTCACCAATTCACGGATTGCCCTGAATATAATTAGCTAAGTAACAGTTTCTCATCCTTTAAATATTCTATTTCTTCTACAATAGATTTTCCCGGACTATTGAAATGGCACCTGCCTCAGCAAGTCAATCCCATGTTCTACACTTGGGATGAACAAGACTCATAGAGATGCCCTAGTTATGGAACTCCATGGTTCCTGAGATAAATGTCACTTGCATGTTCCTTCATTCAAAAAGAAAATATATGATATAGAAAATCAAGCATATTCTAAAGCATGCTATTGGAAGAAAAATATCAATATCTGATCAACAAATCAAGGAAGATGATTCATTACAGAAAACTCAAACGACTGCATGGTTTTTGGTTAAGAAATGGATTATATTAATGCGTCCAAATGGAATGTGTAAAAATGCAGCCCTTCTTACAAAATTTGTTGAAGAAAAATGAATTTATAATTTTCTCGCTAAATTAAACAGTAAGTTTGGCATTTATGAGTAAAATTTCTAGGAAAGGACGACTGAATTCCACAAAATGAAACCATTGTCAACATTCAAATTGAAGAAAGGAGAATAGGAAGATTAACAATACACTCATAGGAGGTTCTACCTTAATAAAAAAGGTGGCAAACATCTGTCGGCGTTTAAAAAGGGGGGAGTTACGTTTGGGGGTCGCCCGTAAGAAGCTGTCGGCCGCCGGAATCGAAATCCCGTCGCCCGCTTCGGAAGGACTTTTTAATTTACATATATATATATAATTTTAGAAAAATACGAAATCAAACTGACCTCATATTTTTCACAGTTTAAATGAAAGAGCGCTCTACCTCAAATCCTGTATCTATCCCGAGGGATAAACACAAGACTTGAGGGTGAGGCTCAATCAAATAAACTAAGAAACATATGACGTCCGTTTGGTCTGCGAAACCGTTTTATTTGCCGACAAGTTCTCCTATTTAATACAGAAGAATTAAATAGGGTTTATTTTAAGCTGGGTTCGGAAAAGCTCCCTATAAGGGCAAGCCCCTATAGTTAATTACATCTCAAATGACCGAAGTCACCTAAGAAAACTCTCGATAAAAATCAGGGAATAATGTCTT